AACCTCACTGCCAATCTGATAATCTCTGATTAAAACAACAAAGCCTTTGGCTATAAATTATTTCATATTTTTTATTATTTAGACACTATGTCACTCGCTATCACAGAGAAATCATCTTTGTTGCCAATAGTTCTTCTGGCAGGAATCAGAACAAGCAGAAGCAAATTAATAAATGATGACATGGGAATTACAACAAAATAGACTGACGACTTGCGGGTATGATTCCGAACAATAACATTTTACAGTCTATTCAAGAGCATTGCTAATAGGTGAGATTTAGTTTACAGTACTGTCAGAAACACTTACAAAATGCTTGAAAAATGAATTGTTACTTTTATGAGTCATACTTGTTATTTCATTAATTCATTGTTCTAGTTCCTTTTACGTATGTTCTCAGGTTACACTCCTGCTCTGTCCAGCAGCTACATGACTATAATGTGCATTTCTAAAAGCCACAATTTGGCTCAACGTTTGTCTCATTTCAATCTATATTTTCTGTTATTAATATAGCCTAAAATAGATATGGAAAATAACAATAAAAAGGGTGCGCAAATTCCTCCATCAGACTGAACCCAACAGCATTTCTATGTTCATTCCAGTTGTATTTCTTAGCATCTAAATCAAACTCTTGGACACCTGCTTCTGAAGGCACACCAACTCCTCTTCGGAGTGAACATTTACCTGCTGACCCTGAGCCAAGTCCTGCTGTCAAATGTGACCTGCAGCTTTCTGCACACTACTACCACACCCAGTTCCCTTTCTCTCGCCCTACTCAGAGTGCCTGCACAAAGGCATACGAAGCAGAGCACACAAGACATGATTTGGGTTGTCGTCTTCAAAAAACAAAACGCAGTACGTTTTGGCCACTGTCCAATTGCTTTTTAAAATGAGACAGTTTTGACTGTGTTTATGGTTTTGTATTCACGGAGCAGCAGTATTTAAGGAGGGCAAGTGAACTGGAAAGTTTTCGGAGAGTTACTTTCATCTGTTCAATGCACAGGAATGTCTGTCGGTTCTAATCAAGACTGCCCAAATTCCAATGTCAAACACTTGCAACTATCTGATCAAGAATACATTACAAACGGGAGATTACTCAATTCCTTGTTGAACAACCTAAAACAACAACTCTGAGAAAAATCACAAATAATTCTTGGGTCGTCTGTGAATACAAAAAAAGAGTTTTCAAATAAATTCTTTGATCTGAATGACAGATCCATGTACCCAAAGGCACAGTTACATAGCTCAGTTTCTAGTACCATTATCCATTTTCCTGTACTATTCTTACGGCTTCCCAGACTTCCCCAAAAGTATCCATTATCCTTCACTAGCTAAATAAAAAACAATTTGCTGAAAAATTCTGTCTGGAAGCAGCACACAATATAGGTCTTTTCCTATTCTACACATTACTTCATTGCATTTCTACACATTATTTAATTTCTTTTGATTTATTACACTACTGTCTTCTGATGCTACAGAAGAGATGCACTCAGGGGATATGGACCAGACACAAAGAGTTTCTTGCAAGCATCATCTACATGTTCATCAACTTATTAACAGAGATCAGAGACATTGCTAGGTGGGAGCAGACAGACGCCTAACAACGACAAAGTAATGAGTTGATTACAGTCTTCTCATTCCTCCTCATCAATGCCAACTCCTGCAAATCACAAATAACCAACTCCAGCTACTCCATGCACAATGCTGTACATGGTATGTGCGCTGTGGAGGCCCCTTCATTATGGACCTCTGACATTAACCTATTTAAGAAACAAAAAGTCATTTCTATACCTCTAGACCAAGCGGAAGTAAGAGTGCTACATCCCTGAAATCCATACAAGCCCTTACAAAGAGCTCCTGCTTTGAGAGGGAAGTCCACAGAGAAACTCTGCAAACCCATGTCTGACTCGGTCCAGAGTTGTTCAAGCTCCAGCTCAGACCAGCGGCAGTTCTTTACCTGGGTCAGTACCACAAAATCTTCTCACTGGAAACAACGGCTTATTAAAATCAAAAGAAAGGATACTACAAGGGGCTCCCACGGCGGGGTTACAGTTGGAGAAAGGTTAGTTACCCTCTGCTCTCGGCTCCTCTCCCGAACAGGTTCCTCCCAAATGCCTTTCACAGCACAGGCTGGCACCACGAGCATGCAACAGATGTGCCATGGGAGACAGACACTGGGGAGACCAGCAGTGGTATGGAGAAGGGCTGACGCCTGGTTAACTTCACCCACTGTCTACGAACACATATCAGAGACCAAGATGCGTCTCCACACTCCACCTCGCTGGAGGGAAGTTTAGGCCAACTGGATCCCACAGTCCTCTGCCATGGGAGAGATGGAGTGAGAAACATGGCCAGCTCCCTCCCACTGAGGTCAATGTAGTTAAAGCTCATTTTTGGCAGGGGAAAAACCAGTCTCCCCATGAAAAAGGCCTCAGGTCTCTGAGCCATGGAGAGCAGCCGGTACCCATCCAGCATCACACAGCGAGCATGGGCTAGCGAGGGATGCAGGGTTCAGCCACACTGTGGATGGAGAGAGAAGAGGAGACGGGCAAGGGCAAGAAGCCGTGATGCCAAGCTCTTCTGCAGTCTGGCTGGCACAAACGGGACTGACAGATGAGCTACTTTTAACTTCTAAAGAGAAGTGAACTATCACACTGCAACAAGAAGACAGCATCACGCCAAAAAGTCTGGCATTTGTATGAAAATGAAGATATCTGGCAGGCAGGGATACAGAGAAGACCCAAAGTACCCTAATCAACATACTCCAGGCCCAAATGAACTGTTGTTAAGATGATGATACATTGGATTTTGTCATTTAATGGGGTCCAAAAAAAAATGTGGTTTTTTATCCCTTTAGGCCTCTAGTGGGAATACTGAGCAACAATGCCAGGCACGGATGACAGAATGACTGGATAAATGACTGGATTTTAGGATGCAGAGCTGAATTCTACAAAAGATGCTTAAGTAAACGAAAATACCAGCACATAATGCAGCTACCCTAAATGCTTTCAGCAGGGCAATTACTTGCACAGAATTTTGAACTCCTGTATATTGCTAAGCATTAGCATCAGCCTTATGCTATTTTACCTGTAATTGATACATCTCCATGTTTCACATTACTCCCTACTGGCTTCCCACTACCAACTAACCAACTACTGCAGGTAAAACACTTTATGCAACTCTGCCACTCGCTCCAGCTTTTATACGAGAAAACAGACCACTTATTGCAATGAGAATCTAGTTAAGAGAACATTAAGGAAGGAAAAAAGGTTATAAACAAAGCAACTAATATTACCGGATTGACAGAAGAAGAAACAAATTCTTTTTTTTTTTTTGCCAACTTCTACTTTAAGGACTCCACCAGTCCTATCCTGGACCAAAAATCTTAAAAGTAGTATTAACCAGTGCTTTTAATCTGCCCAGTAATCTGGATATCTTCTTGTGAAGCCACCTCAGTTAGAACTGGTCAACAATCATGTCTAGGGACAAAGTTTGCCTCGGGGTGGCAGGATGGGAAGAGTGTCCCAACATTTTTTTTTTTGTATCTAAGAACATGCACAGAGTAATTGGAATGAAAAGGGTACTGTGAGACTTCCAACATCTTGTTGAACAATTAAGTGAAGAAGAGACACTTCAAAGGCATGGCTTCTCAAGGATCATAGCCACAGAGAACAGTTTGATCAGAGATCAATGAGCATCTGCCATGTTCCATGCTTTCCTTCCGAGTAGCAAGTTGGAGCATAAAAATGGATGTTGGCACAGTTTTAACAGCGTGAAGTACATGGTGCTCCTTAGCAATACAAGATTCCATCTGCACACATCACTGCAGGACCGGACCTGCAGTTCTGATCACACATCGGCAGAGACCACTCAGACCAAATTCAGAAACTCTGCTCTTCAGTATATTCTAGCTGTGTTGTTTTATAACAGCTGAAGATTTTTTTTTTGCCCCATTTTCACAAACTTACAAGGAAATCACATATATTTTTAACATATTTCAGGAGGATCTGTGCTCTTCAGACAAAGCAGCCATCATTTTATTCTGTCAGATTCTAATGCCTCATAAATGACACAGTATTTTTAACCACTTGCCAATTAACCACTCTTGATATCAACTTGAAACTGTTTCCTGTGATCAGTCAGAGCACCATATAGAAGAATAATTCTCCATTTCAGATATAATATCAGGCTCTAAAGTTCCAGAATTTTGCCACTTTTGAAATGATAGCACAGTCCCACTGTGATTAAGGACTGCAAAATCATGCTCCCTGTAATTGAATCTAAAGTCTGACAACACTGACCTTATCAAGGAATGAAACTTCTGGCTGAGGCTCAAACCATGCACGAGAAATAAGCTCTTGCTGGTTGTTTGTAAACGTCATATAAAAATGTACTTATTCATTATTAACAACTTGTAAACTGAACACAGTGCAGGTCTCAAACTGCTGCCAAGTAAAGTATTACTTAGTACAATCATTTCATTTACATCTAATTCTTGTACTAATTTTGGCAGAACCACTGAGCATCTCTTTTCACGATTGTACGAGGTCTATCATAACGAGATAAACATACAGACCACATGCTAAAAACAGAGGACATAAGAAATGCTAGGGGCCAGATTAATTTTGTGAATGTCCACAGTGTTGCTGGCCTCAGTGACAGCCCTATTTCAGTACAAGCTGTGCAAAAAAAAAAGGATTCTAGGAAGAACCAGGCCATAGGTATCCCACTTTTGTCGTGGCAAGGCCAGCAGTGACAACACATGACCTGTACTGGTGAGCCATTACCTTCAGGATAAAACAGAATAGAAGGCTCCAAGCAAAATCCCGTGCAATATCAGCACCAGGCTTTCATGAGCGTCACAGTCAACTCAAAAATCTGAAAGTTTCATAAAAATTCAGTAAGGAGCTATTGTAAACAACTGCCATTGCTCTGCAGCAGAATGCCATTTTAGAAGGAAGCACGAGAAACCATGGGGCTGTTAAGACAATACTGTAACGCACCTTTCTTGTTCTTGCATACAGCTTTCAGGATGCGGTTTCCAGGTCCGCATTTTCCATGGTCGGTCACACACATTCCTTCTGAAACGATCCACTCGTAACACACCGTGTCTTCACAAGGAATAGATTCAACCAAATGTGGACAAGCTGTCAGGGTGCCTACCGGATCCACGATCACTTGCCTTTGCCTCATTCTAAAGCCTGGAAAAAGAGACACTAAATTAACCAGACAACAGCAAAAAAATATTTATACCATCAATCTAGTAGCCAGAGGACTATACAGGGCATCTGGAACTGGGAGATACAAAGACGAACAAGAGCACAACACTTACAAACGGAATTGACTGGGACGGCACTTGGCTGCACGTGCCCGGAGTCCAAGCATGCAAAATCTGATAGTGTGTAAAAGATTCCAACAACACCCATTTTTCACATTTCTTTCTCCCTTTCATCAACACTAGACAGAAAAACACTTGTCCAAATACAGGAATTTGCCACTGATGCATATATTAATGCAATAACAACATTAAGATAAAAAGAGAGAAACAGTTAAGGAATTGCAGATATAAAGGACATCTATATTCTGCCTGGGAAGCCACTAATGAAAAGACTTGTTTTGAGATACAGCAGAGCAGTTTACTAAGAAATCAGTATTCTGCTTTATGAAGGTGTGAGGATTTCTGATACATAATGCATATCAGACCTCTTTGAAATGACATCGTATTAAATTGGAAGATTCAAATGTAAAGTGGAAGAAAAAGGTTACAGAAATAATGAAAGAATTGATTACATAATCTACCTCCTTCTGAAGAAAACCAAAAGTCATGTTGCTATCTAAAATGCAGAACTAACACGCAGGTATCTTTCAGCAGGTTTTGTTATGTAAATGACACAGAATTTGAAGAAAGGCAGAAAAAAATACACAGTGGTCTTTCCTACAACAATCTCAGACCAGGGGCAAATATATGGCATTAGTGGAGGCCACATTGACATGCCCTGGCCATGAAACAGAAAAGAAAATGAAAAACAAAATATTCCACAGCATATAAACAGACCAATCTTCCACCATTTTCAAACCAACAAAAAGAAATTGCTGAAAAGAATTTAAAACTGAAACGGTTTTGCAAACCTTTATATTTAACCACATATTTTTTATTATTTCTTTTTTAATGTGAAAAATTCTGACCAGCTCCAGTCACTTCAAAAACTTCTGCTGTTTTCAGAAAAGTGTAATTTCCAAACAATAATTTTCATTCCCTGACACGAACTCCAACAGTTGCCTTTGCAACTTGGGAGCCTGAGGAATGGCTCTGCAATGAGTCTCCAGGTGTTGCAGCAACAAAGATGTAGACCCGGGGAGGGGGGGGGTTAAATTATCTTTGCAAACTCTTCTTCCAGGAATTTAAACCAAACGCAGCACACTGAGCAGAATCTCTGGGGCCAGCCTCACGCCAGGACGGCAGGGCTGGGGGATGCACCTCAGCCCCGACGCCTTCCCTCCTCACCCAGCGCTGCCCTTGAGTCCAGACATGCAGCAGCTCGCGACTCCGAGCCTGGCACTATGGAGGTCTGCAGCTGCTAGCCCAAGAAACCCTCCTTTTCTGCAAGTTCAGTGCAGGATAAAAGCATCTGAATCAGGCTGAAAATCTTATCTTTTTTTCCTTTTTTTTTTTCTTCTCCCAAGAGTAACTGCAAAAAGCTTTTAAAGGTCATATTCCACTCCTGTACGCAATTCTAAGAGCTTCACCCTATGTTCGATTAATTTAAAAAAAAAGAAAAAACACATTACGCTCCCACCGTAGAATTTGACACCACTGCTTTTCCAATCTTATCATAAATTTCCCTTGCCCCAGTGCTGCAAAAGCAAGCTGGGAGTGCAGCCCTTACCTCTCCTGCCGTGGCGGTGCTGGCAGGCCTCGGGCAGGGC